TTTATTGTTCCAACTTTGGCATATTTGCCCATGAACTTGTATTCCCAGTCCTGCAAGGCCTAAGCTCAAAGGGCCAAGACAGAGATATCACCAGTCAAATCATTTTGTTCAAATTACTTATTGAGATATGACTATATATATCTAATTTAAATAAGGTCTGTTTACATATTTTGATATATATAAATAAAGTCGAGAGATAATTAGATAGAAAAATTAAAATTATCTGATAAGGATGATAAATTTTATAGTAATTATAATGAACTCGATTATAATTATAGTTCTTTTACTAGATTATCAGAAAGGCAAGATACTTGTGCTTAATATATTTTACTAGATATACCATAACAAAATAAAATTATTGAAAAGCAAAATTTTACTATTATAAATATGGTTAGAAATATAATAAGTTGTTTTCTATACCCAAATTACTGTGAGGTAAAATTTTAAAGCTAGTTATGTATATCTTAAATATGATTCCTAGTGTTTATAATTGATAGAAAATCTAAATTCTTTTGAGTTATCGACTAATAGGAAACTCAGCTTGAGATATTTATATATTTAGGATTATCATATAAAGATAAGAATATTTAAATCACATAAAATGAAATTAAATTCGAGGATTATTTTTAAATATTTCATTATTTATTAAAAAATAAAGGATTATCGATTTTATTACCATAATCATAGTGCAAAAATAGTTGAATTTGATAATATAAAATTCTTAAATAATAGGAAATTAGTGGGAGTGAATCTCAAAATTTAATCTTGATATTAAAATATATATTAATATTTTTTATCATTTAATATTCTAGAGATTGTTATTTTTCAAATCACTAAAAGAATTGATGACGGTGAATAATAAAATAATATTAATGAATACACATATGATATTGATATCATCACTAATGGTCTTTTAAAATATCCATAACTGATAATTTTGATAAGATCTTAAAGGAAATGAGACTTTTTATTTCTGATTATTATGTAGTATATCTAAAAATATCATACTATGATATAAGAATTAAAAGGATCTCTTATTATTTTCATAAGTTATGAAATATAACGATTCTAAAAAACAATACCATATAATAAAAAAAGAATTGAAATCAATAGACCAAAATAGTATTTGAGAGCTTATCAAATCATCCAATAATTATAAAAGGAGTCATTTATATAAACATGATTGAAAAAATAATATCGAACAATATAACAACTAGATTTGTGATCAAAGATTTTATTTATAAAGAACACATCGACCATAATGATATATTTTATCTAGTTTTTTAAATCAACTCGTTAAAAATTGTTATGATATTAGTAACTTATTATAATTTTGAGTTATATCATATGGATATAAAAATAAATTTTTTTGGATGAGGATGTAGATTTATATGGATTAACCTAAACAATTCACAAAGAAAATAAAAGAAATATATAATATGGTATGAAAATTTAAGAAATATATTTACGACTTTAAATAAGCCTCCAATAATGGTATACGATGTTTCATAATATCATTACTTTCTTCATATTTAAAAATATTATTAATTAGTATTTATATTTGAAGATTAGTGGGAGTAAATTTATTATATTGGTCTATATGTGGATAATATTTTGCTTGTTAGTACTGATCTTGATTTATTATACCAAATAAAAAAAATTCATCAAGAATTTTAAGATAATTGATATGAATGAGATATTTTATATTATTAATATTGAGATATTCAGAGATATATGTCAACGATTGTAATGATTATCTTAGAAAGAATATAGTGATCAAGTCTTAGAGAGATTTAATATGTAATTTTATTTAACAAATAATATAATAAAAATATTTTAGTCAAAATAAGTATTTTTTTTAAAATAATTTAAAAAATAGATAAAAAATATTTATTATGTATGTGTACTTGTAAGTCTATTATATGCTCATGCTTATACTAAACTAGATATCAATTTTATAGTCAAAATATTAGAGTTCTTTAATAATAAAATACTAAAAGGCTACACAGAAAGTAAAAAGATATCTGAAATGAACGAAGGATTATATACTTTACATATATAAAATTTAATTAACTTAAAATGATGATATTTTTCATATGTTGATTCTGTAAATTACCTCGATAGTAGGAAGTCCAATTTACGTTTTATATTTATATTAGTTAGAGGGGCAATTATAGGAAAAAAATATTAAAAATATATATTATTATATTATCAATAATAAAAGTTGATTATATAGCATGCTTTGAGACCACTAATTAAGCTTTGTGACCGAGGACTTAGTGTGGTCGGACTTAATTATCAAATCATTGAAGAAATATATTTTGAAATATCATGATAGTTTTCTTCTTTAAAAATGACAAATATTATAGCAGTTCCATGCATTATAATATAAAATACTTAATGATTTAAGAAAAAGTTTAGAAACAATTAATGTCTATTAAGAACTTGAGTTATACTGTATTGATTGATAATCCATTGACTTTGGATTTACGACAAAGTGTTTGAAAGAATATATTCTTATGATTGAGTTTGTGAGCAACCCATAAAAGATATAGTAATATATATTTGAGTAGACATTATAATTGATATTCTTATTTATGTAATTAAAATTATTTATTTTTACTATCTTATTCGTATTTATATATGCACATATTATAGTTGAATGCAACAATATGATTGTTTTGATAAGACATATTATAAGAATAATTTTGGATTACATTAGTAAGAGCTAATGATGTTATGATAAATGAAAATAAATATGACATTGATGACATACAATCGCTATGACTGACATTGATAATCAGGCTTAATATGATATTATTATATTTATTGAACTTATTAACCTGTTTTATAAAATTCGTACACACTTGTAAGATATTTTTTTTAAGTTTTATAATTTACTTAAATAAAATTATTATTTAAATAAATTTTTTTATATATTCTAATTTTAAATATATATTTTAATTTTAAAATTTTTATATCTTACTAGTTAATACATCAAGTGAAAGAATATTAAATTATATGATCTTATCAAATTAGATAAGATATATTATAGATTTGATTGGATTTTGATTACGATTATCGGTCAATAGAAAGAAAGTCTAATTATGATAGGATTTCCCAGAAAATAACTTTGATAGGAGGGACTATCCTAATTACCATCTTAGACCTTATGCTCTTGTCTATAAAAATACAGAATCTAATAGTTAGACCTTATTTCATCTTCCTTTTAATCCATCGTTATCTTATAAAGGATAAAAAGAGAGGGAAGACAAGTTTGATTCTCCTCATAGATTAATATCGCTATAGTTTTTGGATCCAACGATCGTATGTTTACAAATCAAATAAAGACTTTCTGAATGATATTGAAAGATATGTTTCGTACATTTGATTTTAGTTTTTGACATTAAAATTCTTTACATAATCATAAAATAATCATAATGTTTATTCACATTTACATGTTGATATTAGTATGATTTATCATGATGTAATATGATTATTTTATGACATGCAATTGGGTCGAAACATAAGTTGCCGACAACCTACAAAGCATAATTAGAGTTGGGTTCGGATCCTCTTTTATCATATTCATGATCTGATGGAAAGCGAATCCGATCCAATCATACTCGGAACTGTCCGATGCACATGTGCACGCATATCCACCGTTGATTAATTAACATTTTATAATCATATTAAAAAAGAAGGCAAGGTTTTCTCGAGGCCAACCAACAGCCGCCTATTTTGGCATACAAAATAATTGGGTTCGATCGGTCTTTCTTTTTATTCTCGTTCTCAGTCAAGCTTTCTTCTTTTTCGCTTGAAAGGCGGGGAGGAGGCGAGATGAAGCTGGCGGCGGGCAAGCAGGCGAATGGCAATGGAAGAGAACTCGCAGTAGGGCGTGGAATCGACATACGAGAGCGCAGGAGGGATGGCGTGGTGGGTGGGGGTGAGCGTGGTGTCTGCCTTCTTCGCCTCCCTGGAGGGTTGCTCCTGCATCAACCTCAGCATCGCGGAGGACGAGCACGATGAGCCGAAGGAGGCCAAGGACCGCCCCCTCATGCTCACCAAGCCCATCAGCCACGACGAGTACGACGACCTCCAGCTCCAACCCCCCTTCCCTTCTCCTCCTCATCATTCTTGAAATCGATCGATCCGTGAATCTCCCGACGCCATCCGCTTTTTCTTCTCCTTTTTTTTTTCCCCTTATATTATACGATATGTCGATGTAATTAGATTCGAGTTTGCCCTAAAAATCAGATTATGATGAACAATGTATCTCTTGATCATGATATAATTGGGTTGATGTTGCAAGATCTGACGTTGGTATTATACGAGATATGTGGATTGCAATACCATTGCCTGTCCTGTCGCAAATTCATATTGTGACATCAAGATCTGACTTACCGTGAATCTTAATGCATGTATGCTTGATATCTTGCAACATTACGTTTCGACAAGAAAAGATGATGGTGATGATCCGTGTTGGTAGATGGACTTCAACTGCCCTAGATCTGATTTCTCGGTCAACTAGATTTGTCATCGACATTAGTCCCCCTACGTAATATTTTCTTCTTACTAGGTCACCGTTGTTAAATGAGAAATGAATCGATTAAGATAAAAAAATGTGTTCATCTTCATTAGCTTGAGCTTAAACTCATCAAGTTAATGATATCGATTATTCCTGGTGACAAAATGATATCACTACCAATCTACAACTAACTGGATATGGAAGATGAACCCACCTTAGAGTTTTGGAGTAAGATTACTCCATTGGATTAAACTCTATAAAATATGTGGGCATGACTCTCTATGCTATGGTGTGTTTACCCAATGAGACTTCGTTGATGCTTGTCGACCGATCATGGAATTTAAGCAGCAAGGTCACTATTTTCAAACAAGTAAATTGATTTATTTGTAATGAAAATCAAGATCACCAATGCATCATTATGCTTCACCAACAATATCTTCCTACATCATTTTAAGAAGCATCATGCATAACCTCTAGTAAAGTCGTATTTATCGATTCATCTTATATCATATAGCCAACGGTACGTAAAGTTGATAAAAACAAAATGAACATCATACAAATATACCTGGAGTGCCATAACAGAAGGCCATTATTGAACGAAACATTAAAGACGTTTAACTAGACAACACTTTCTACACATGCAATGCATACTGCATTGACAGGCGAACAAATCCACCTCTCAATCTAAGAGCTCTCATATCATGCAGGTCATCGGATAAGAAATGAACATATGAACTTTGATTTGATGAGGTAATATGATATTAGGTCTACGCAGATACCAAAGTTGCAGTGACTTACTCTTTGGTACCTTCACCAGTGCCAACTTCCTTAAACTCTGCACCACAACCTACTTCCTCACCATGATCCGATGAACCATGTCCCTTTAGTTCTGCATGTTGTTCTGATTCATCACCATGACCTGACGCACCATCCTCCTTTGGCTCTTCACTATGTTCCACGTTTGTGCTACTTTCTGCTTGACCATCCTTCTTTGTTTCTGCACTATGTCTATCTCGTTTATCTGAATCATCTGTAGCCTCTAAGGTTTTTTCTGTTATTTCAGAGGTGCCGTCATTAGACCCCTCGGTCTCTGGCACTGTCTTCTTGATTGTTCCAACTTTGGCATATTTGCCCATGAACTTGTATTCCCAATCCTGTAAGGCCTCAAGCTCAAAGGGGCCAAGACCAGAGATATCACCAGTCAAATCGTTTTGTTCAAATGACATCTTTGCCAACGCTCTACTTGCATCTTTACCAGCAAATAATGCATATGGACCACCAGGTCCATAGAACATCCTGAGGAGGGAAACATAAGAAAATTTTAAGATTTCATATACTAAAGGTTTTTGTTGATACACGCAAAGCAGCATAAGGCCAAGCTGAAATAGATGAAAAGAAAAGGATTCTGCATGATTAGTGGCAAAACATATAAACAAGAATTCCATTCTGTTTACTGCCAAGAAGATCATCATTTGATTGTTGAAGATTTCAATGCATTCAACGTGAAGCATAGGAAGTTGGGAGAAGTCAACAAACCATAGGTGATATAGCAATCTTCCAGTAATACCGTCCACAAGAGGCCACACCTGCTAAGTCTCGTGTATGTGGAAAATAGTCTTGCCGACCACATTCTGAAGATAAGCAACATGCCCATGAAGATAATTTTCAAATAATATACACTTCGTTAAGGCTTCACAAAATTGTTTTACTACATACAGCGAGCTGGGTTCAGGAAGCACTGAAGTCAAATGAGATGCATCACTATTCTTTTTACGGAGATAGATTGAGGTGCCAAAATCATATTATTAAAATACTGCAAAGGAGAATCTCAGAGCAAATCAGGTAAATCTATCACAAAGTTCATCCTGGCTAGCCACTGATAATGCCTCTAACTAAACAGATTACCGATCATCAGGTCTCCTGACATATGACTGATCTTGGCTTTCTAGCTTCTACAATCACGTAAAATTATCTTTTCATCCACCCTCTTGCAATGGTTATTTCCCCATTTCAAAAGACACACAAAAGATCCAAGATGGAGCAGCGCCTAGCAAATCTAGAAGTTGATTCTCCAAATCCACTCCCTGTATTCTTACTTGGGTTCTCCAGTACCGGTTTTACCTTAAAGCACTGTAGGCATGACACTACTGACTCGTCCATCATGGTACAGTACAATGCCTTGGGCGTTGTCTATGACGAGGCATATGGAATAACTTTGTTCACATAAGTTTTCCGATTGTTCATGTGCAAAGCATGAATAAGCTATTTTGTGTGATGCATGAAGAAATCACTTCGTCCAAAGCCATGAAAACTCACCTTCAAACTGACTACATACATAATTCCTCTTGCTTATCAGGGAGAAATGGTTGGTAGTAATATTTAAAAGGGGCTGAATCATCCCCCTTAGAAGTATTACATAAGCTGAACATACTACAATCTTATTTTCCTACTGATAAGATAGTAATGAAACATAAACCAGCACCTATATACATATATTATACATATATATGCAGCAAAAGGTCTCCAAAAATCAACTCAGGCCAACATGCTAATGCATTGTACGATTTTCTTAATTTTATTACACTGCAGGTATTCCACCAACCAACTTTAAAGCACAACCGGTTGTTCTAGCTCAAATAATTTGGTATTTGAATTAGATTAAAAGGTACCTAAATACACTATGATCCAGCATTAATCTATTTAATACTGCAACCATTGTAGTATACGGGGACAAGACCTGATTCCTGTTTCCTGTAATTTTCTTTAAAGCAAAAGAAAATAACATCGCTCCATCTACTTAGCATTCTTAGACCAAAGTTAAAGCATAAAGCTTTAAAAAAAATTAACAAACAATGATCGTCCAACCAAAAAGTAAAGTGATAAAACCATACTAACAAGAGTAGCAACGACAACGTTGTCGCTTTATCCATAGAAGTCCGATTCAAAGTTCAAGAGGTATTGTCAAGGTGAGCAGCCTTAGCCCTGCAAGGGTTAATTTGGACTGTTTCCAAAGGCCAGTCCAAGTGCACAAGGCTCTTGCTCGCAGCCTCACCTTCGTAGGTAACTCAGAGTCTGATCTAACCATTACCAAGGTCAGGTTTAAGAGCCATAGTGCGACAAAACCCTGAGTAAATCATCGAGACATCAAGATACAGGAAAACTGATCCCAGAGGAAAAAGGTAATCTAGGCATAGCAGAAACAAAAGCATCAACTAAACAAACTAACAGGGAGATGGGAAACAGAAACACCTCAGGCCCAACACTAAACCCTAGAAAGACCTACAACGAAACGGAAACCAAATCGATCGAACACACTCCATTGATCCGAGACCATACGGATGGGGGATCGGGGGAGAGGAAGCAGACCTGCTCTGGGTGACGTCATAGATCTGGCCCTTGATAGCCATGAGGAGCGGCTTCTTAGGATCGGACCCGTCGTAGGCACGGAGCTCCTCCTCGGTGACCTCCCCGAGCTGGACGGGCGGAGGGAGCGGGTCGACCTCCACCTGCCTCGGCGGCGGGGGCGGCGGTGGTGCCAGGAACCCCGCGACCGTGTAGTAGAGCGCCACCGCTACTGCCAGCACCGTGAAGAACGTCGCCGGCGACAACCCCGTGTAAGCCTCGATCGCCCTCTTCGACACCTCCCATACCTCCGCCACCGCCATCTCCTTCTCTCTACCGAGCGGAAGCGGAGATCCCAAGACGAGGAGGGGAAGGGAAGAAGGACGCGACCCGTCGTTTTATAGACATCAAACAGGCCGCTACAATAGCAAGCACTGGCGGCGACCATTTGGTTTCATTCATTTCGGTATCCAGATCAGCTGTCCAGTGCCAAACAGGCTGCGGTCGCACAACCCCAATCGCCAATGGCTACCTGCCACATTGATTGACTCGACAATCGAAACATCGGCATGGGAGGAAAAACAAAAACGTTTTTTTTCTTGTTGTTTATAAAAACATGAAAGACAGCAACAACACTCATTTTAGTATAAGCAATTAGGCCAGCCAGATCTCATCCAATGTTATTGTTATTTCAAAAACGTTTTTCTATGCTAGATCAAAATTTCTTATTATACTCGCTTAAATTAAAATAAATATACTTAAAAAAGGCTTTTCCCTTAGTATCATGAAAATTTAAATCTCTATATTAATCCATCACTTACAATTTAAAACCTCCCTACAGTAGGAATTTTTGAGGAGAATATATATGCACATGCCACAGAGAATCTAATATATTTTTATAAAAAATTAGTGATGAAGATATCGGATTTTGATTTTAGAATTATGCGATGATATCATAAGAACTTTTACTAGCTAAGATAGATATCACTCCAAAAATCTGATAATTTGCTAAAACATCATCAGATTTTGTTGAATCATGCAAAGCAATCTTCCTATAGGCTGATAATTTGCTGATTACCTTTGGAGTAGATCGACAGGTGCACATGTCCATAAAGATCCCAAAAACTCTGCTTTGATGTTTTGAACAAACTTTAGGATTACCTACAAAAGATGACAACGAAAAGTCTTTTTCCCTTGTGGTCCTGAGCTGACTATTGCATGTTATGATATGAAGAACTTTTCCTTGTTCAAATTAGGCCACGACACTGTCATTTGATTGTTATTCAACCCTCATATCAAGTTGCCATAGTAGGCTACAGACCCTGGCCTCAAATATCAAAGGAGTAAGCTTTGACTATGTTGATATGTTTGACTTTTGGTGCATCCAAAAATGACTCATCTCCCGTAACTAGTCAACCATGACTCCAATCTGATGAAAGGAATAAATCCATTTTTAATACATTCACGCAGCTGACAATTAATTGAAAACAACAAATGCCACAGAATTATGCTCCATCTAGTTCTTGGTGTTCCGCTGGTAAAATACATGAGGAGCGAGATTTTTTATTTCTCAACTAATTTATCAGAGGGCTTATCTTCTGCGCCGAGCGAACAATATGGGTGATCATCGGCCTCTTGCCTTCGATGAGTGGCTACTTGAGACGTTCCTCCTCGCGCAGCATCCAATGAAGTATACGATTGACTGAACCATAAAGAAGGGGCGAAAGAGAAAGAATATCAGTAATATAATTAAATCAGTTGGATACACTTCCAAGTTGATTAGATCAGTCAAACTCCAGATACCAATCCAGATTGAAAAGATCAGGCAAGCAAATAATGACAAATCGCTGCCAGTACCATGTCACAGTTTCATATGGAACTTTAGAAACTTACCAATGCAACAAAAAGAATGACGTTGAAAATTGCAACCACTCTCCATTCCTCCTTCATGTATTGGGCAACTCCAGCCCTGAAAATAAAAAGTACAAGAAAGTAAGGTTAATCAGATCGAAAAATGAGCTTCAGGACAAACTTCTTGTATTCAAGGAACTTACTTGCAAGAATCACAATCATAACACTTGATGGCTCGCGCATTTTTATAAAGCTTGCAGTCCTTGTTTGTGCTTACAGGATGGTAGCTCAGATCATAATAGGAAGCATTTACTGCAGGATATCCACATCTAAAAGTACCCATGATGCACAAAGCAAAAAAGATAATCAATTTATTTTTCAACAAAGAACTTAAACAAAAAAGTTGTATTTCAAAATATGGCTGAAGCTATGGAGTTAAGAAGTTTGTAGCATAGAGAGGCAAACATTGCATATCCATATGGAGGAAAGCATGCCTTCCTTGTAACCATACAGATAGGATCACAGATGGCTATACCATAGGAGCAGAAGCAGAGACACAAAGGTGATGTTAGTGCTAAACTGGAAGAGGTTCTTTCTGCTTGTGTGTTTCGCAAGCTACATAATATGTTTGCTGTCCAAATTAATTAGCTTCCAACAAATTTGCCAACTTTAACTAAAGCAGTTAAGAGGTCTCAGTGGACCAGCATGGACTATTGGTGTAAAGCATAAAAACAAAGCATCGGATCAACTTTAACAAATTTGTTTTAACCCAGGGGTTCCGAATGCAAATTAGATAACACTAGATGATAGTCCAAGTAGTAAAAATGGCAAAAGTAGACAAGCATACTCTGATGGGGGGCTACAGCAACCAGCCTCGATGGGGCTTAGTTCTGCCAGTTTGTACTCCTTCAGATTCTGTTCGAAGTTAAGACAAGTGAGAAAAGATGCAACAGCTCACATTTTAGAAACAAAGAAGATCTGACCTTGTATCTTTTTGGCAAATTATTGCATTGCTCAGACTTGACAAGGCAGCTCTTCAAGCTTCTCCAGTTTTTGGTATTGTTGAGCTTAAAACAGCAAGCAAATTGAAGTGGACATACTACTGATATACATTCAAAATCATAGAAGGAACATCATAGTGTGGTTACATAGAAGATAAGACTTACCTGTTTTAAGAACCAAGAACTGTAATCCTGAAGATGATACTCCTTGTACCTAAACAGCAATGTATTAAGAAATGGCTGGAGTATCATACAGGACTAAAGACTCTTTTACTGAGATGAAGTTCAGCAGACTCCTTATGCACCCTGATAATCATCCAGAGAACTGTAGTTCCCATCAAATTTGGGAACTTCCAAGCTATTCTGAATGACTAACTGTTGAGCAGAAGTACTGCAACAATGGAAACTGAATATTTTAACTTAAGACTTTTGTTTGCGATGGTCTCTAAATAACTGCCATTATCCAACAAGCAGATGCGAGGCTGTGAATTGTTTCTTGAGAACATAGTTCGATATTTAACCATCTATATGTTAATAATGACATTTGAATGAAACATGATTCTTCTAAAACTGAAGCTGGACGAATGCTTCTAACCTTAAGGTATGCAGTTATTCATAAAATTTTTAATATGACAATGACAAATGTTATCTCAGATCTTTCTCACGTTGATTTTTCACTTCACTATAACCTAAGGAGCAAATATTAACTTATAACAGGTTTTCTTACCTCAGACCAGCTGCAGCATGACCAGAACCGCTATTCGTTATAATAAACCTACAATAATATTGATTAGATTCAACATCAACATCCAATTAAAAAAATGAAAATAAAGCATGATTCTAGATGGCTGTAAGTATTTTTTCCGAGTGCCATGTTCTACTGAAATGGAATATTTTTGAAAGCCAAAAGGAGACAACCCCCACTTACTTACAAAAGCTATAGCAACTTAAAGTAAGATGTGTGTGAATTAAAAGTCACTAATAAATTTTATGTAGTTGCATATCTCAGAGAGACTAATTTTAAACATTAATCATAAAGAAGTAACAGAAGATAAGGAAAGAAGAAGTAGCCAAGTAAGAGACAGATATTCAATATGTTGGCAATCAAGAAAACTCATGAAACTATAAGAAAAAAGGGAAATGACATCAGATCATAATTCTAGAGACCGGTTAAACAATGGGTAGCCAATTTAACTAAAATGACTCTTAGTGGACCGAATAAATGGTTAGAGATTCAGAAAGGTTAAATTTTAAATAAAAAATATTTGCTCCTCAAAATAGTGAAAGGCAGCTTTATTTAGACAATGTTTTGATATGTACTTCAGCTCCCATTTATTGCTAAAAAAAGTAACTGAGTTACAAGAATCTTCATTTCTTTTCCATTTATCATATGTTTTCTTTATAATTTTCAATAATATCTGTCATACAGAAAACACTCACGGACCGATAGACTAAGCATAATATCTTTCTTGTTGGTAAATCAAGGAAATTTCCAGATTCGATTGAAATTATGTCTAATTGCATATCATGAAATGAAAAGAAAATGATACTAAACAAGAATTCCAACCAATGGTACTTACGCTACTACTGTGAATATCATGATTGAGACCAAAATCAAGCACAACATGACAAGATACTGAAATTTCAGTGTCAAGGACGTCTTAAGTATGAGAAGGATAAACGACGAAAAGAAAAAAAAATAACTAATTGACATGTTGCAACTTATTAGAAGGATACCACCCACAGCAGTACAGTGACATTCTTCCAAGCTCCCAAGAAACCTATCAAAGATCTACAACATGGAGTAAACCAACATTAATCCTGAAAACGTGAAAGCAAGTATCGAACATTAACATCTTCAGAACGGATCAAAAAGGAAAGAGGCTTACACTAAAAGGATCAATGCACCAAGACCTATGACAGGGAGGGTTAAGGACTTTCGGCATTCATCGTGGTGGATGCTCATCCATACTCCAAAGCAAACAACTGCCACTGCTAGTATCTGCAACATCAGATTAGGAGAAAACTACTTTAAAGGTGATGTTGATACAAGATTTAAGTAGCATGTCTACAAGAAAAAAAGATCTCGCTTTCTTTTTCTCTCCATTTGCTAACTTCAAATAGCAAGCAGCATTATCAGAGAGCAGGAATTGATCCATCTATCCTAATTTTCTATTCTTCGAAACAAGATTAGGACTTGAGGGCAAATGCGGGTGATATTCCATTACTCCAAAAACCAATAAAGGCTTAAGCAACAGACAATTTACGTCTCTTAGAAAAGCCACACGCTTCACCAAAAATAGGGAGAAAAAGAGCAGTTTTTTCTTGAGAAAGCATGCATTAATCATCCAAGGAAATGCACCCAAAACTACAGAACGTTCAAAAGGGAAGTCGAGTAATACGAAAAGCACCAACTTTCAAGACCAAGAAATGCAATCAAAACGACAATCCTAGTGTTCAGCTCGGGAATGGGGATCGAACATGGTGACCGCAAAGCAGCTGAGTGGCTCACCATGGTGAAAAAGTTGATCCACCTGATGACAAAGGTGCTTGCGCCTGCGCTCATGGTTCCCCTTCCTCTTCCCCCTCACTTTCGCCCTCGCAAGTAAGGCTTCGACTCAGAGACAAAGCGGAACAGGTGGAAAGTGAGAGAGAGAGCAGATGGCGTTTGATGAGGGCAAAAGCGGAGAGTGGGTCAGATCACAGAGGCGCCCCAATTTTCTTTTAATCTCCACCGTCCGCTTTAAAAAGTTCCATCGATCAAATCATACGGACGGCCAGGATAACAAAAGAAGTGAGATAGACGGTTTTGACAGTGGTCAAACTAAGACTATAGCATCAACTGACAAAAGAAGTCAGATGGACGGTTTTAAAGGTTTCAAAGGAGCATAACGGCCGCACCTCACAACCGTTATAAACTGCTATAATAATAACACGGATCGTTACTAAAGCCCAATTGTATTGAAGTCTTTAAAAGCCCGATCCCAAATCTATGGACCATTTCCAGCCCTGATCTAAAAAGACGTGGGGACGTCGGATTAGGTTCTTCCGAGTCTTTATAAGGTTTGTGTATAAGCTGCATGAAAACTCTCATATCCGGTACTATTCGAGAAGGTTTCTTTCTGATGGGTTTTTTTTACGCCGTGGCACAGTAAGCTGGCATGGCTTGGTTCGGTCCTGGGTGTACAGTGTCATCCATGTCGGCATCCGGTTAGTGAGGATCGTAGCCGGGCGAGGTTGGGGATTCCCTCAGGTTCACTGTCTATTTCTTGGCCTTTGGTTCCTGCACACAGATTGAGGTCGAGAAGGGGCTCCCGACTTCGACCCCTCCGAAGATCTAGGTAGAGCTGTGTGGTCAATCCCCTGTGAATCCGGTGAGTGTCGATTGACTCGAGGCAAAGTCCTCTTTGGTCAGGCCGAGTTTTCAAAAGACGTCGAAGTATAGGATATCGGCGGAGCTCCCAGTGTCCACCATGATCCTTTTAACCCGAGCATTGGTGATCCTGGCCGAGATGACTAGCACGTCATCGTGCTCTGGGTATTCGGTCTCTCCTGTTGGGAAGGTGATCTCAGGCACCTGGGGTTGCCTCGGGCGCTTCTCTGCGGTTACTCGGGCGTAAGCCTTTCATCCTGCCATGCTGTCTCCCCCTGCTGTCAGACCGTTGGTGATCACGTCAATCTGCTTCTCGACCGGCCTGGAGGGACGGGGAGGCGTTTCGCGTGGCCTCCTGATGTAGTTCCTCATATGCCCTCGGCGTATGAGTTCATCAATTTGATTCTTGAGGTCGCGACATTCCTCGGTGTCATGCCCATAATCGCGATGAAACCAGCAATACTTCGAATGGTCCCTAAGCTCGTGTGGTTCCTTCATTGGGTTTGGGGCCTTCAGGAGTCCTTTCTCCCTAATATGCAGGAATATCTCGGTCCTAGAGGAATTCAAAGGTGGCAGTGGGGGCATCGAGAGTGTCACGTCGGGTCGATCGAGTCTCCTTCTTGGGGGCACCGGGGGTAGTCCTCGGATCGGTTCTGGTCGCGACATCTTGTTCTCCTCCCGCTTTCTAGCCACCAATGCTTTGGCAGCCATGTACTGGATGGCTTATTGAAGCATTTCGGGGATGGTCGTAGAAGGCCGCTCGATCAGCGGCCAGAAGAACCTGGAAGGTTAGAGTCCCATTAGAAAGACCTACATTATCAAGGAAGGGTGAGCGTCGGGCAGCCCCTGGATTTCAGCAGCAAAGCATGTCACAAAATGAGAAAGCGGCTCGTCGCCCTTTTGGCTGAGACTGAGGAGTAGAGCCGCAGACGGCCTTGGTCACGCATTGGCCATAAAGTTGAGCTCGAACTCTTTGGCAAGTTGGTTGAAAGAGGCAATTGAGGTCGGTCTAAGACCTGTACCACATCCGAGCTGGGCCTTAGAGCCAAGTGGGGAATGCCCTGCACATGAGGGCGTCAGACTTACCAAATAAGGCCATTTGGGCCCGAAAGGCGATAACATGTTCCATTGGGTCGGAGCCGCCATCATAGGCTTCGAGAACAGGGAGGCGGAAGCTTGGAGGGATCGGCTTATCCTGAACCTCGAGCATGAAGAGTGATGCTCCTGAAGAGGCCTCGCCGAGCTCCTCCTTGGACTTACGAAACTCATGTTGAACTTTGTCCAGACGCCGATTTACCGAGAGCAACTATGCTCGGAGGGAGTCCGCCAAGTAGGACGACAGGGTGTCGGGCTTGGGGCTGGTGGTGCAGGGATGTCGAAAGCTTCATGCATCGTGCACGGGCATGAGCCCCGGGCTCGGTCGTCGCTCGGGCAATGCGGCGACAATCGTCGTCGCAGGCTGTCGGGGAGCCGGGGGCGGTGCAGGAGAGGGTGAGGGCTGCGTGGGAGCTGGGGGTGGCAACTCCTGTTGTGGCGTCGAGAGTTGTCCGAGAGGCGAGACGAGGGGAACGATGGTTTGCATCATCCCCGCTAGGACTTGAACTTAGTGTGTCAGGCTAAGGAACACCTTGTCGGAGACGAAAGGTTGAGCAATAACCATTCCCGGGGGCGATAACCCCAGGTCAGTGAATAGCCTCCAATAGCACCCCGGGGTCGCTATGTTGGCCTCTTGTTCGAAGGGAGGTGGGAGTCGCTCCCCGAGCCCAAGGGTTGAGTGGGTAAGGAGGCGGTTGTTGCCCGAGTGTTCGATCAGGTTGCCTAGTTGAGGTTGATCCTGCGTCATGAGCCCTCCTTCTAGTGCAAATATGATAGGTTTCCTATATGTCGTGGCACTGTGAGCTGGCACGGTTTGGTTCGATCTCGGGTGCATATGGTCATCCACATCGGCATCTGGTTAGCGAGGATCGTAGCTTGGTGAGGTTGGGGACTCCCTCGGGTTCATCGCTTACTTCTTGGCCTTCGGTTCCTACACACAGGTCAGGGTCGGGAAGGGGCTCCCGACTTCGACCCCTCCGAAAATCTAGTTAGAATTAAGTGGTCAATCCCCCCTCTGCTAGCTCTGTGAGGGGCTTTTTATCTCTCCCACCGGAGATCGCCCATACTTGTCATATTTATGGTTGTCGACCCGACTTTTGCGGGATGGTACCGTGCTCGGGCGTTGTCGACCCGACTTTTGTGGGATGGTACCGTGCTCGGGCGGTGTCGTCCCGACTTTTACGGGGCAGCACTGTGCTCGGGCGACACCATCTCGGCTTTTGCAGGATGGTACCGTGCTCGGGTGGTGTCGTCCCGATTTTTGCGGGGCAGCACTGTGCTCGGGTAGCGCTATCCCGGCTTTTGCAGGATGGTACCATGCTCGGGCGATGCCGTCCCGACTTTTGCCGGGCATGACTGTGCGCGGGCGGTGTCGTCCCGACTTTTGCGGGACAACATTGTGCTCGAGCGAACATGGCTATGAACAACGGATGGAGGGCATGTTACCAAAATGTGCTTTATCACTTTTTATTTTGACGAGAAATAAATAAATATTCCAAAAAATATTGGTTCCATATTTGAAGCTTGGGTATCTTTGGCATGGTATAATTTTACCTCGATGCTACAGAAATGCTAGTATATACACACATTGATCTTACCGGTGGTCTCAGATTGCAATGCATCTTCCTGGAAGGACAGAGGATGAAGTTAAGAACAGCTGTAACTCGTCCATCAAGGAAGAACGTATCGACTTGTTATTCCTCATCCCAAAGTCTTCTCGGTCCTCCATGACTGAGTCACTTCCTGATGCTTGGCAATCTCCTGAATAACACAGGATAGCTGTGTCTCATTTCCAGACTCTTCGCAGCTACAGGTATGTATCTTCTTCTTCAATTGGACTCATCTTTGTCCGTTATACTGGTCATGGCTTCAACACTAACAGGTCACCTATTAGCCATCTCGATGCCAATGTCTCTACGCCTGCAACTTGGCAAGCGGATCAGACACACCCTCGAGACCTTCTCCTAAGGATTCCCAACCACAGTTTGAGACTGGAGACACAGTGACCACAACGACAAAAAAAATTAACGTGCTCAAGATTTCATGGTCTGTCTCACATTCCAATGATTTTGATCAGTGTTTAAGCTACAATCCTCTTTTGATACTGTATTGTAACAACTTGATTTATGGATTAACACTTATAATAAAGATTTGATTTGATGGACGATTAATATAATTAATAGTTCAGACTCAATAAAATTAACGAGTATAATATTAATATCAGCAACTCATTTTGTCCATGAAGAGAACTACTAGAAGTTGGCATTAGAAGCTCTATTTGAAGGTGATTTTGTGATATATTATTAGATTAATTAAAACTATCTCCTATAATTAATTATCTTTAGTATTTTGATCTTTCTATTTTTAAAATTTATATTTTTAAAATATAAAAATCGAGATATTAAAATAATTAATTATTAATCTTATATTATCACACGTACCATAATTGTCGTAAATGATTGGCATTACCCGATGAACGAAGGAAGGGTGTGATTCACATGCCGAGGGAGTCATGCGCTGGTCAAGCTCGGTCGGTGGCTTGTCCAAATCAAACGGTCTCCACAGATTTGTTGGATTCGTCAGACAATGGCTTTGAGTGAAGTGAATTCCTATCTACAGAACATGGCATTAAATGAGCAGTGGCCTCAAGTCTCATGTCACGCCATATTTTCTGGATATGACGACAGTAATAGTGCTAAATATCAATGCTTATAAATGATAAGCTTAAGAATATGAAATGCGACGTTTGTGTACGTATAATTTATATATATTCATCAACAGTTGACGACAAAATGAAAACATTGCTCGACGCACTGTGACGCCTTAATTTCCGTCCATAGTCGGTCAAATCGTAGCAGCAGTACCCAACCATTGCCCGTTTCGAGGAGAAGGAAAACGCTCCCCTCCTTCTTCCCCTCTTTCCCCTTCTCTTGCGTCCTTTCCGCATTTATGGCACCGCAGCCAAAGTGAAGGAGCTTCGTGAACTCGATCCTTATCCCTACCACTCTATATCTCTTCCTCAGTTCGTCCAAAGGGAACTTGCGATCTCTCTCTCTCTCTCTCTCGTGGCATTTACTCCCATCTCCTTTACGTGAGGATCTCAAATATCTCTGCTTTCTCCCCCCCTCCTCTTCTCCTCCTCGTCTCAGAACCGTAATAATGCTGCGCTGTGCGTACTTTTGGATGTAGTCATTTAATGGCCGGGAAAGGAGGGAACTTTCCGATTTCGAGCTAGCTACGCCCTGTTGCAGGTGGGATCCCCGCCACTGAAGGCTTCGAGATTCGCCCGCTTCCTCTCGCCTCGCCCCCCGTCTGCTTTAAAGGCGCCCCGGAGTTTGAGCTTATGTTTCGTTCCTCCATCCAGCCTTAATTTTCTCCCTCCGGTCCTTTCACCGGCCTCTATTGATCGCAGAGAGAGAAAGCGAAGGGCGTCGTGTGACAAGTAATGGGGAGGGCGCCTTGCTGCGACAAGTCCGGGCTAAAGAAAGGGCCGTGGACGCCGGAGGAGGACAAGATCTTGGTCGACTACATCCAGTCCCACGGCCACGGCAGCTGGCGCTCCCTCCCTAAGCTTGCAGGTCTTTCCCCACTACCGTTTCTTTTTTCTTTGAAGTACCAAACATGTTCTTTTCCTTCTTCTCAGTTGATATCGCTCTCCTGTTTGTTGCTCATCCATGCACTCGCACTGCAGTCTCAACCAAAGACGGAATAAAGATGTACACCTTCGACTCTTATTTGCTTTTATCAGCAGATATGCATAGCATGCATACTAAACCGCAGTGATGCTTATGTCTTATAACCCTTCTTGGAAGTAAAGCAGCAGTAATTCACATCCTAGCAAGGCTGTAGTGCAAGTGTGTTCCTTCTCTGTGGGGATCACGTAGTGAACAGTATAGCATCCAATGATAGCAGTTCTCTTTACGGAATAGCCATGGTAACATGTTAGGATCTTAATCGTAATACCGAACAAGTTACATGATGGTGATGGCCTGTGCGGGGGGAAGTGAATGACTTGATAACAAGTATTAATGAGCGAGACGATTAAATGCAGGTCTGCTTCGGTGCGGGAAGAGCTGTCGGCTGCGGTGGACTAACTATCTGAGGCCGGACATCAAGCGTGGCCCCTTCACCCCAGAGGAGCAGAAGTCCATCATCCAACTCCACGCCATTGTCGGCAACAAGTAAACCACGCGCACGCTACCTCCATTCCCACTCGCACACACAAACTCAATAATACGTCATCCTTCCTAGTCCCTGTCTCTTCTTCTTACAGTGAGATTATAACCTTACCACTTGCATTTTCTTCTTGACGTTTCTTCAAGTTTAGCTACATCACACTGGCCAGGTTGCCATGGCAGCATCTTCGTGCTCTTCGTTTTTGTCTATTTATGACAGCGATAGCGATGTAAACCAGCACATTAGCATGAGAGAGAGAGGTGGACCTACTGCAATTAATATCATCGTACCTGTGGGCTAGGCGTCTGCGATATTTTGTTTCTTCTTCTCATTCTTATTGTGAATAGCGTGCATGACTTAAAGCTTGTGTCACCATGAATCACACATCATCATGAACTGTGACAGTCCCATCAATGACGTGAAAGCCCCTTCCCCTCCTCCTCTCACTCGCTTGCTCTGATGTTTCATTTCAAGAGTAGCAAGTCACGTAATGAATTGGAATCATCACACCAGGTGGTCGACCATAGCGGCTCAGCTACCGGGGCGGACGGACAACGAGATCAAGAACTTTTGGAACACCCACCTCAAGAAACGCCTCCTCCGCATGGGCCTCCTCCACCCGGACCCCTCCGACTCCTCGCCCGCCGCCGCCTCCTCCCGCCACATGGCTCAGTGGGAGAGCGCCCGCCTCGAGGCCGAGGCCCGCCTGTCCCGCGAGTCCCTGTTCGCTCACTCCGCGTCCGCCGCCGCGGCCGCTGCGGTCACCAACCCCGCCGTCAACCTCCCGCCTCTCAAGCCCGAGCCCGACTTCTTCCTCAGGATCTGGAACTCCGAGATCGGCGACGCGTTCCGGAAGACCGCGGCCTCCGCCACCGACGAGTCGTCTCCGGAGTCGTCCTTCACGCGACAGAGCTCCGCCGCGGCAGTGAAGACGGAGCCGCCGCCTACGGCGAGGGAGGAGACGGAGAGCAAGAGCTGCGTCACGGGCGGCGGGCCGCCGGTGGTGGCTGGAATGGACGACTCCTCGGGATCCAACGAGGTGGTGGACGACGTGTCGGAGGAGTCGTACCAGCTCTATCTGGACTTCGGCAGCGGCGACGACGATCTGGGCCTGTTCGGCGGCCAGGTTGGAGCCTTCTCTTCCCTCTTCTCCAGCGATCTCAACGTGGAGACGTCCCTCGACACCGCGTTCAAGTGAATGCTATGCTATCTTCTCGACTGTTAAACGAGCGCTAACTATGGAGCTTACGCAGCCACTAGATATAATATATGTTCTTAGATAATCTTCTTGGTACGTACAACGTGAATGAACTGTGGGTTCCCTCATCTTTCTTCACGCACGTTTTCTGGCATACTTATGAGATGACATGATTAAATGGAAGGTTTTGTAATTACTGAGCTGTTGATATGTCTTTTGTCCTTGAGGATATGCATGATCTCGACAATGCATCTTTATGTATCTGACTTGTATGCAATGGTGAAACATATTTCTTTTACGTACCTACACGATGGTAGATCCGATCATATCAATATCAACAAAATAAAAGATAAAGAATGAAACTGTGTGGGATAAAGATGAGGTGAAGGATGACATTGTACAGGTGACCAGTTGGACACAGGATGATTAAAGAGATACTGACATCATCTGCAATAGAACAGCAAGAAGCCTGCCATCATGATCTCGATTCTCGAAGTACGAATCCAAAAGAAATGCTTTTCCCTGTATCGTTTGCTTCTGAGCGAGGGGGACCAGAGATTTGGATCAGTCTATTGGATGAACAAACACCCCATTCATTCATCAGTACCTCTTCTTTACTACACTGTTCCTCCTTTCTTCTCGAAAAACCATTAGCTATGACTATTGTATTTGTACTATATAAATTATCAATAAGAAATAAATAATTTAATTAAAAATCATAGCATTCCGTACTTGCTAGATACAGTTCGTAGCAATCAAAGTGGGAAGGTTGAGTCCTTTCTTTAACATATATTATTCTTCCTTGTCTCGACACATTATTACATAGGTTCGCAGAAACGTGATCTGAAGTGCTGCAGCAGGTCTTCTCATTTCTATGTGCATGGCCAACATGATTTAACCTGCAGGAGGCGATCTACATCAGGCCAGACTCTGGAGCGGCACTGCAATTGGAGGAGACCGTGCGCTAGCAGTCAATGACTCGATGGACCAGATGGCATTCAATGCGGTGGGGCGACTGCATCATGTGAGCATCATTTACTTCTCTCTGAAAAGTTGGGGAATTGGCATTGAATGCCCTCAAACACACACGCCCGCAGAAGCGTTGAAAGCTCCCACAGTTCCATCAGAGATTAAAATGAAATATAAATAGCCTGAAAGCAAGTCCGCCTGTTGACCGTAAACGCCTGTCGAGTGGACTAACATCATCTTTACTCGCGTGATTGTCGAGAGATCGAGAAGACGAGGAGATCATCATCATGGCGTCAAAGGTAGAGTGCGACGGCGAGGCTACAGGTAACGTCTGATGGTGGAGGAAGGTGGAGGTGCAGAGGACCCATCCTTGACGTGGAATACAGGTGGATGTGATGTCTTTGGCAGGGGCGACGTGAGAGACTAATTACTGCGAGTGAGATACGGGAGAGCCCAGTTTGTGAGTCAGACGCGACGGTGGTGGACCGGTGGTGGTGGTGGTCCTTCTGAGATAAGTCGGTGGTCCTTCTTGTGCGTGCAGGGGGTAGTAAAAGCAGTGTGTCTCGCCTGCTCTTTTCTGATGGCCGTACACACGCCGTCGGCCGCGCCACCGCCACCATGCCACGAACTCTGATTAGATGTGGAAGCTACATAGCAAACAGGAAATACATAGTAACCATTTGAATATTTTTGTGATTTTTTCCCTTTTTTCAAAACAAAACAAATTGAAGACTTAAGTCTGTTTTAATTTGTTTATTTTAATAGAGTAATTATTAGTGCCGATTTTGATCGTCAATTCGATATAGTAGAATTGTTTCGATTTGATTTATTTTTTCGAATCTTATTGCACTTAAAGTTGGGAATTCATGAAGTTTTGATCCACTCAAGAAGTTTTGATCCGAATTCATGAAACAACTTCAATAGGATAAAATTGTTCCGCATCCGAGAAGATTTGGATTATTTATTTATTATTCAAATAAAAATTATGTTGAAAGTATACTCGACAACATCCTTTCAACTTTTAAGCCAGTAAAAAAAATCTCAAGAAAAGTTAAAATATTGAGCATCGAAGAGATCATACTTCAGCACTCAACCACTATCCCTTATAAAAATCAAATTTATCAATATAAAAATATATTTTTTTATATTATATTGATGTGATACATTTGGTTAGCACGTCATCGTTTTTGACTAATTGTTCTACATGATGACTGACTATGAATAATTATTATATCTAAAATCGAACCAATTAGTCAAACTAATTTCTCTCCAAATTAATATAAGATATAGTATATATAGTTCACAAACATGCTTCGGAGATTAAAAGTATTTGTAATTACAGTGATAATCCTCTCACAAGTGTGGAATCAGATTCCACTTAAATTTCCCGAACCCCATTCCTGTAAATTGATGTGATCCTATGACCCATCGCATGTGGTGATTTCAGATGGAAAAGGTGCGGTTGGGCACCTAATAATAAGGGCTCAAACGGTTTCATATCATTAAGCTCCATCAACGCCTCTGATGATACTTACCCACAAAGTATACAACAAAATTCCACTTCAACGAAAAAGAAAATAAAAATAAAACAGGATAACCTTTCTTTTGTTCTCATCCTGTGACTAATATGAATCAATTATTTTGCTGGCTCCTCGGCTTCTTAGTTAAAACTATGTTCGGTTTGAATCATCGAAATCAAATTTCGTTCGGTTTAACGATTCATCGATGTTAAATTGTAATGATAATTTCGATTTTAAACTAATCAAATTTGATAAAAAAAATTAAAAAAATGAATCACATATAAAACATATGATACGGTGGTTAAAAATAAATTAATTTAACGATCTGTCTATTCCCCTAGTTAAAACTAGGTTCGATTCGAATCATCAAAATCGAACTTCATTCGGCTTAACGATTCATCGGTTTTAAATTGTAACGATGATTTCGATTATAAACTGATCAAATTTGATAAAAAAATAAATCACATATAAAACTTATGATATGATGGTTAAAAATAAATTAGTTTAACGATTCCTCTGTTTCCCTAGTTAAAATTAGGTTCGATTGAAATCATCGAAATCGAACTTTGTTCGGTTTAAGGATTCATTGGTTTTAAATTGCAGTGATGATTTTGATTTTAAATTGATCAAATTTGATAAAAAAAATTAAAAATAAATCACATATAAAACTTATGATACGGTGGTTAAATTGTTGAGTTTAAATTTAGATAACTAGGGTTTGTTTAATTAAAAAAATTATAATTTTATTTTTTTATATCAGTTTTAATCGTTATTGATATACATCTATTTTTTAATTTAAAAATAAAATAATAAATTTTTATATATTTAAATTAATTTTAATTTAAAATAACAAAAAAATTGAAATCAAAATATATAGTTGTAGTATCGAAACCAAAATCATCCGAATTAAAACCTCAGTTATAGTTCTAGAAAAACCGAAATCAATGATAAACCATAGATAGGATTGTTTTTACTTCAAAAAAAAAAAGAAAAACAGAGGTGGTTTTGAGTTTGAATGTACTGTTCTTCTAAATCTTGGCCGAGTATAGCAGATGAAATGATTTATTTTAGGTTCTCTTTGGATCTAAGAAGAGCTCACCACAATGTACCCCCGAGTTCTTACAGCAAAAGTTACTCCTGATGATGCTCGTTTACCAACAACAGATGTGGCTTCCGTAGCATTTGCTATCAGATGACAGCAGCTCTACGACTTTTGATGGAAGAGGAGCACTAAAGCTCAACAGCGCAGAGAAAACAACGTCACAGCTGCCTCTTTCCACCCTCTTCCATGCTTGCGTAGCAGTGAAGCACCTACCGCCTCATTTTGCTCACCGGGAAGGAAGACAGTAGGCCGTACACGACTCTTCATCATGATTTCAGGTGCCTCGCTGCACATTTGCAGTGTCTTTCCTCATAAATCTCTGCACCCCAATAGGCATACATTTCATGTCGATCGCAACTGGTTTTGAGGTCATTTAAGATCGATTACATTACCCAAAGAACTCCCCGTGCAAATTACATAAGATACAAACCACAGCACACACCACCAAACCAAACACATTCTCACGAACAGGTGGTAGGTGTTCCAGTCCCCACCCGCCCCTCGTCTCTACTTAGGCCCCAAAACAACCAAAAAGCTTCTTGGGAGTGAACCCTGTGACGCGATATTTAGCGGCCATCTCTTCTGCCTTGAGGAATTCTTCCCCACGCTTAGCCTCGACCATGGCTTTCTTCTCCTCCGCTGCCTTATGTAGCATGGCGATCTTGTTCTTCATCTTCTCTACGTACTCTGCCTTCTTCTTCTCCAATGCTTCCTGCACGAACAACATGGAAGGTATAGGTATAATTACAAGTATAGTTCAACTTGGTACACTGTGAGCTGAAGCAGGGTGACTGTATCTGAGCTACAGCCATTTCCATCTTACGGTTGAATTCCATCATTCGAGATCTCTGACCTTATAATTACAGCACCTTGATAGAACTCATAAATCTAATCTTGTCAGATCAGCTAATTCCAAGTTGTTGTTGAAGTAAGCTTGCTTTCTTTGAGCAGCTATGAGATGCTTATAGTTCCTCACCTCTTTCATTTTCAGCTCAGCTTCTAAAGCAGCCTTCTTTGAGTTTTCCCATGCAGTAATAGATGCCATCTTCTTAGCAGCCCTGTCCCATATTGGCAGGAAAACATGATAAATTAGACAGATAAAAATTGTACATCCATGATGATCATAATTTACCAAAGTATCATGTCCAAGAGGATGATTAGAATCTCCATGATTCGATTTTAGCTGGATCGATCTAACCCAGTGTTGCTGTCTCCACAGCAACAACAATGATAGCATGTGGAGTCAGCAAGTCTATACCCAATCGAAACAAAACTTACTTGTTCTGTGCTTTGGTCTTCTCGTTCTCCTCCCATGCTTTGATCATGGACTCCCTCTTCTCTGTCTCAACCCTTGCAAGCACAGCATCTGAATTGGCAGCATCAAACATGATCTTCCTCTGCCTTCACACCAAGTGGTGCATCGTAGAACATTGTAAATTCTAGCAAATGTTTCTCCAAACACTTACCTCTGTCAATCGAACCACCTGATGTTTTCTTGGTAGCGGCAGCCTCAGTTGCTGGTGATGAAGAGGTTATGCATAAGTTCTTAACGATGATGAAGAAATTATAAGCTCGACAGCTACGGAGAGCACATATGATATCAATCATCCAATTCGTATGTATGCAGAGATGCATCTGGAGGTGCTTTGTGATCTTTTCGTGTAATATTAATGAATCGTGGAACCTAATTATAAGGATTTCATGAAGAAAGCAGTAGAAAGGTTAAAAGAACCAACTTTTTGCTCTGTTCATCTACTCTTTTATGCTAGCACATCAATTGCAAATGCTTTCGATCTAGAAAGTAAGCAAATTGCTATCTATCTATAAGTTAAACAAAGAAAAATCGAAATAATTATCTGCTATAATCCAAATCGTTCCCTAGAGAAGAGAAGAGAAGATTACAGAGAGAGAGAGAGAGAGAGAGAGAGAGAGAGAGAGAGAGAGGAAGGGAAGAAGAAGAGCTCACTGTCCACGGTGGCAAGAGCCTTGGAATCATCCGGCTTCTCCTCCTCCTCAGGCGGTGGAACCGCTGACTTGTCCTTCGCCAGGTCCTTCACTGTCTCCGCCGGAGGAGGATGTGCAGCAGTCCCGGCAACGCCTTCAACCTCCATCTTGGTCGACTCCTCTTCCCCCATCGATCTTCTCCCACCAAAGCAAGAAGCAATCGATCGTCCTAGAACTCCACCGAGTCTTGTAGTCACCGGCGAGAAGTAGGTCCAGCATATAAAGCCGAGGAAGAACGAGGGAAAGAAGCGTCACGTAGGAGAACCAGGAGGTGGTATCATGCGCGGGCCTTTGCGTGTGCGACGCGCGTGAGGGCACGACGACGCAAAGCATGTCGGCGCCGCGATTCACGACGCGAGTGGATGATGTGTAGCGCATCGAGAAGCCTACCGCTCCCTTCCCCCTTTGGATGTGCACCACGTCATCCACTCCGGTCGTCCCTTCTCACGAGCTTAACCTAGTATCGATGTATGTTTATGAAATATATATATATATATATATATATATATATATATATATATATATATAATTCATAAACATAACAATAATTAAAGCACAGACTGACCAAAATTTAGATTACTTGTATTTTAATTGGTAAACATCTTAGCTGTTGATAATATAAATATTGAACTTACTAAAATCAAATCCCATGGCTCGTGAATTCATTGTATAGTTTTGGAGCATTCTTTTGTTGTAGTAGATCATAAGAGTGGCATACACTGGCATTATATGTGTACATTTGGCAATCCCCAGAAAACACAAAGCACAGGTTTGGCATGTCATCATCATGACAGCAATTGCTGTGGTGGTGGCCAAATCTTCTCCCAAGCTGTTCGAGGAGTCTTTTGGCCAGTCTCCCGTGCATCCCTCTCATGGAGGAGCCTTGGGGAAGGTTGAAAAGGTGGCCATACTTCTCTCATCCTGTTTTCCCCCCACCCCCATCCCCACCCCCACCTGTTACTCCTGGGTTGATTTCTTGGCTTGGAAGGTGGGCATGTTACAGACATCAAATGGACGAGCTTGTCTCCACCACACACCATCCCATCACTCCTGTAGGTTATCCAGGGTGATCTGACAGTGGTCGATGGTGGCGACATCTATCCTTTTGACGAGCAAAAAAGTAGAGGGGGGATGGTGAATTAAATTGTCCATGAATCAATGGATAGGAAATGATAGATGTGGAAATCTTTCAGCAATATCCTGTGTATGTGTGAACTTTCTTTTGAGAAGATGCTCTCTAGAACAGATAAAATCCTAGTGTTTTTATCTAAAAATAAAGATAGGAATTTTATTGCTTCCACGGGATTAACCTTCAAGTTGACCAAAAATTTTTAGTTATATTTTCATTGCTTTCGAAAAACAATCAAAGACATTATATATATACATTAAAAGTTATTAATCCTCAACCAATTAGGACTAAGATTTCTAACAAAAATAAATATAGTAATTCCTAATTTGTTTTATCAAAGGACTCTTAACATAATTAGGAAAAACTCAAAAACTCTTACCATAATTAGGAAAAACTAAATAAAAAAATAAAAATTAATATTAAATCCTTAAAATTAATGACTCCTAAAATTAAGGAATCATAACATTTCGTGTCTTTTCAAAACAACTTTGTCCTTAAGTTGAGCAAAAATCAATTTTGAAAACTTCTTCGATACTTTATAAGACTCTTAAAGTGACATCTTCAATTAGTAATTTAGCTTATTGAATAAGCACATATGACGCATCACAACATGCCGATCAATTAAGTAAGGTCTCTACTTAGTGACTACATGAACAATAGATAACATCTCGTTCTCATAAACAGATAAACTTAGATGAGATAAGAAAAATGCCTTAATAGTATAAGCGATTGTACGATGTTTTTTCATTAGTATAGCTCCAATACCCACTCCAAAAGTATCAGATTTAATTACAAATAACTTATTAAAATTTAGTATAGTGAGAACTAGTGTAATAATTATTGCATACTTAAGAGAAATAGATGTTTGAATACATTCTTTTGTCCACTTAAATACATCTTTCTTTAAAAGTGATATCAAAAGATCATTGATTTTGTCATAGTTATTCAATAGTGGTAAGAAGAAATCCACGACCAACTCTTATAACAAGCTTCACTTTGGAATACTTATTATCATAAGTTAAAATTTGCTCATCAACAACCTTCATCTTCAACACTCTTATAACAAGCTTCACTTTGGAATACTTATTATCATAAGTTAAAATTTGCTCATCAACAACCTTCATCTTGAACTTATCATAACGTTCAATGTGATAGGCCAATCGCACAGTAACCTTGCTATCCATAAAATTATTGATGCCACTATTATCAATTAAGATAGTAATAGACTAATATTTCAAAAGCCCTAACTTTCATAATTTGAAAATTAAAGTAGCTAATGCATGAATATTATATGTGATAGGTTCAACAATCTCATCATTATCAATACCTTCATGATTAGAAGTTACTGCCTTAATCTCTAGTTCCTTCTCAATTGGTTCAATTATCAAAAGTTTTCCTTGCTTGCATCGATGCTCTTTACTCTACTTTTCATCACAATGCTAGCACAAATCTTTTATTGATTGTTCTTTAAGTTCCTCTTCAATCGGTCTTCTAGTATTAGGATTCTGATTAGAAATGGTTGGAGTAGTTGACTTACTAGTCACTTGTTTATTAACACTCATAGTTCGATGATTTTTTATATTTATTTTTTCTTTATGCAAAAGAAATTGTAGCTATCGTAGTACGAGGTTGATGAGCCTTAATTATACAATGAATGCCTGAATTAAGATCTTTAATAAATATTCCTACTAATTATCTTTTAGACCAATCCTGATTTGATAGTCGCTCAAATCGATTTTGATACTCTAATATAGTAGAAGTTTGGTGAATCTTGACAAACTGCCCATCAATATTCTCATATTCAGATGATCTAAAACAAATATGCACCTTATATTAAAATAAACCTTATATCTATTTCTCAATTCTATAAATAAAATAATATCTCTATTAAGTTCTTTCCTAAGTTCCAAACCAGAATACAAATATCTCTATTGGGTCACTAATCTACTATACGAACTTGGTATCACCTCCCAATCTACTCCTATAATATATTTTGATAATGTCAGTGCCACCTATATATGCGCCAACTCATCATACACACATGAAATATATTACCATCAGCTTCCACTTTATTAAAGATTAAGTTGTAGACATCAACTACGTGTTTCTCACGTTCATACTTCTTATCAACTAATAGGCTCTCTCATAAAGGTTTTTGCTCATGAGACATGTCAGTTGCATTGGTCCAAGATTAAAATCTCTAACGAAAACTCAATCTTACGAGGACATGATAGAGGTAAATATAAAATAATAACTTTGCATTTATTATATACTCTAATCCTTAATCAATCTATGATTTGAATGCATGATTTGATTCTTTGATTCGAGTGAATGATTGAAAGAAATGTACCCCTAAAAATATGCATAAATACACATTATTGCTCTAATAAGTGAAATCAATCTTTTCTAAATAATTTTTTTTATTTTATATATTTATTAGTTATCATAGGTATTCAATTTTTATATACTTACACTTAATTATATTATCATATCTAAGCTATTTGCCAACCTTGGAAATCACGACCTAATGCATAAATCTAATGAATAAGTTGACCGAGGTAAATGATCTTGTCTTTGCAAGCAAATAGATTGTACCCATGACTTGAATTCTTTGAATTGAGTTCGATTAGAAGAACCTTTTATGGGCCTTACCGGGAATCAACGATGAGGAACCATTCCATCTCTTGGGCCCAATTCCAAAGAAGGTAGTGGGCTTATGTTCAAACTAGACTCAGTTAGGCCCATAAGCCCACATATCATTCTTTTAATCCAAGTGTACTACTCACTTAAGCCGGATTTGGACATCCTTAAATCGAGTAGTAGGCACTGAAGCTGGATTTGAATAGGTCTCATCGATTAGCATCATAATCATTGTGAAATGTCAATGATAGTGGATCTTCTTTTGTTTTTGGTTTTTGGGATATTCATGTTCATGTGACATGACTAAACGAAAATTGGGTACCATTTATTAGATTTGAATTCAGATAGTTGATCTTCATAAAATTTATAGGGTAAATTCTCTAGAAAAATATCAAGTTTCACGTATTTCTAAAGAGCATCCCATTTTTATTATTCTCGTAAAGTATCTTTTATTTTTTAAAAAATAATATTACTTTAACAAGAGAGATCTCATGATGGCTAAGACGATGAAGACGATAGAAGAGGATCCCTCCGCCTATGTCAATGCGACTATGGTTGCCTCTCGTAACTGTGCAAAGGCAACGGTCGACATGACAGAGGTAAGAGGTAATTTAATATTATTTTTTTGAAAAATAAGACGTGTTCTATTAGAATAAAGCAAAAATGATACAAAAAAAAAAGTGAAAACTTGATATTCTTTTTTTGAGAATTTATTAGAGCTTATAAGTGCTTCTTTACCTTATCGCCATTCATAATCCTAAGCGGACGTAATTTATCTTTATTTCCATAAAGGCAATTGCCAAAGCATGCAGCTTTCTACAATCCAAATTACTTGTATCATACACTCGGAATCAACGTCAGAATTGTGCACCTGACTATGATCATCAAACTTAGAGAACTTTGTCAGCTTTCTCATTTATGTTATCCGTTTTAGTTCATCACGTTGAATCTGGCAAATTTTGTCATCCAATTGTCTTATTATCATATTGTGTCATTTCCATCGATAATATTTCACAGCTTAATAATATTTCTCTTTCTAAAAGGCATGCAGTTAACTGACTGCAGGCGAAGAAGGAAGCGAACATACGACGAGAATCCACACAGCTACAGCAACCGCATTCATCGACGAGGGCAGAGGCTCTCGTGGCGTGAACGGCCGGCGACGGAGCGCACGCAGCGCCTGCGATGAGCCGATGAGGCTTTAAAGGCAAGTAAAGAAGACGACCACCCCACCCACTCCCCCACCTGCACCTGTCGCGTGCAGGTCCCCCTTCCCGCCCTCGTTCCCTCCACATGCTCGCATGCTGCTACCAGCTAAACCTGGTTGTTCCAATCCTTCCACCCATCATCTGCTCCCTCTCTCTCTCTCTCTCTAAGCTCCATCCAAAGTTCATTTACAACCACCATTCGTGGCTTCCTCACATCTTCTGGTATCAAAGCTTGCTTGAGTTCGAAGAATACTGATCTACCAAAAGAGTGAGGAGTGCTTTGAC